GTTGCCAAGCGACGAAAACCCAACCCCAATGGCAAACACCGGGGGGGAGGGAGGGGTTTGGTATATACAAACGTAGGGCTCGCAGTTAAACAAAAAAATGTCTCGGCTGTTGTGCTTCGCTTGTTGGTTCGAGCTTTGATCGAGCAATCTCAAAAGCGTTAAAGCGTGTGATGGGTAACCAGGCTAGCACGGGAGGCACTGGTCGCACACTAGGCCTTCGCGCACAAAAGTGTAGAGGCGTACAGCAGTACATGTCGCACCAATGGTGGTGCGTAGCAGCGTCTGTGTGTTGTTGGTGTCATGTGCCCCTCTCCGCGGAAAGGAGAGAGGGAGGCCGCTGCTGCTGCTGCTGCAACCANGGAGGGAGAGAGGCCGCTGCTGCTGCTGCTGCTGCTGCTGCTGCAACCAAATGTTGATCTCTCCTCTCGCTTCCTCCGCCGATAGCTAACAGCAGCAGTGTATGGCACACCCTTCTCCCACCGTCTCGCCCTCGCTGTGGTCTGTGTCTCCCTCTCCCTGTTTGTCCATGTCTGGCTCTGTGTGTGAGTGGTGTGTGGTGTACGAGGCTATCTGTCTTGGTTCAAAATCAAACGACGCCTCCTCTCGGTGTTGGGCCAGAAACTTCCCTGCTTCATGTTGGGTACCGACGCTGCACTATCTCGACGCACCGAGCACGGATTGAAAAGGTAGCAGTTGGGGCAGCTCGGGCAAAATATTNGGCATACCCTTCTCCCGCCGTCTCGCCCTCGCTATGGTCTGTGTCTCCCTCTCCTCGTTTGTCCATGTCTGGCTCTGTGTGTGTGGTGTGTGGTGTGCGAGGCTATACGTCTTGGTTCAAAATCAAACGACGCCTCCTCTCGGTGTTGCAAGGGGCCAGAAACTTCTCTGCTTAAAAGTTGGGTACCGACGCTGCATTATCTCGACGCACCGAGCACGGATTGAAAAGGTAGCAGTTGGGGCAGCTCGGGCAAAATATTACTTATTGTGAACACGTCGTAGATTGCAATTTGGTGCCGAGATGGTGAAATGGGCTGGAATCTGCTGGGNAAAAGTTGGGTACCGACGCTGCATTATCTCGACGCACCGAGCACGGATTGAAAAGGTAGCAGTTGGGGCAGCTCGGGCAAAATATTACTTATTGTGAACACGTCGTAGATTGCAATTTGGTGCCGAGATGGTGAAATGGGCTGGAATCTGCTGGGTAATATATCGAGGCTGGTCACAGACAGACTTGCTTGAGCCCGTTCCCCCCCCCCTCTAAACAGCTTTGTTGAAGCGTCCCTATAGGGCCACTTCTCTTAGAAAAGTATCATTAAAAAAATATCTTAGAATTAGAATTAGTAAAAACTGCTGGCATCTCCCCGGCTTCATCGATTATTTATACTTCGAATTAGAATAAACTGCTGGCATCTCCCCGACTACATCGATGATTTCGCGTTCTTCGAGGAAAAGGGACAGACGGCTCAACCCTTGTCGCGATAAAAACTGGGAAAGCAAACACCTCGGGACGAGGACTGGTGGGGCACTACTGTAAACAAAACAACATGTCCTTCTATATTAGGAAACAAACTCCCTGCAAAATACAAATTACAGAAAATGTATTCTCGGTACAAATCAGATCCGTAGCCTTCGAAGGGTTTTGTATTAGGAAACATGTTGGATAAAGTATGTGCGCACATCGGGAAAAATGCGCAAGATGGCCACCAAACTGCCCGATAGAGCCTTTAGACCACAAGGGAGATATCGCCTACAGCAGTATGCTGCTCGAAGAACCGCCTTGTAGAAACACATGGTAGCTTCCACTGACTCTTGATTTCATTTGCTACAGCAGTAGAAAACTAAAAACCATGTACATCAGATATCCCAGACTCCTTTATCTATGGAGGAGATGAATTGTTTGTCCACTGCCACTTTTGCTTCTCCCTTCTTCCCCCCGCTCCTCGACAAGCTTTTGCTTAGACATGGGTTGTAGTGAAGGGGGGGGTCTTTCTGGCGAGCAGGGCTAGACTCACCCTCAAGGGATGACCGAAACCTTCTTGCTGCTGCGCATATCCGCCGCGAGGCATGCGCGTGGTGGTGTAGTTGGGTCGGCACTGATGGGGTCAGGCGAAAAAATGTAGATGCGCGGGCCTCTGGCCGTCGGCGTAGG